TATTAATATATATATATATATATAATATTATATTATATTATATTATAATATTTAATTATATTTTACATTTTTTATTATAAAAATATATATTAATGAAAATATTTAAATATTCCTTTATACTTTATATTTAATATTAAACTAAACTAAAATTTCATATATATCAAAAATAAATTTATTGAAAAATAATAATAAAAATAAAAATTTAATTAATTTTTAATTTTTATTTTATTAATTTAAATAAAGCTATATAATATTTTATAAATTAAATATATGTAAAATTAAATTTTCCTTAATATATATGTAATATTTTAATAATGAAAATTCATTATTTTCATATTATAATTAAGTAATAATTTACTTTATAATATTATAAAGCTTATATATAAAAGACTTTCATAAAAATATTTATTTTAAGTAAATTTTATATATTTGAATTTGTTTTTTTATTAAAGTAATTTTTATCGGAATAATAATTATAGCTTTTATTAGAATAAATAAAATAAGGAGTTTATTTATTTGCAAAATTATTAATCCATTAATAACTTATTTATTTCATTATAAGTTTATTTTTTATAGAAAATGATTTAATAAAAATATAAGACTTAATTATTATTATAAATAAACAATTATTAATATTATTAAATAAAATAATATATTATGTTTGTATTAATTAGATGAAAATTAATTTTCATTTTATTAAGATAAATTTACTTTTTAAATAATTAAAATAATGATCTTTTTTTAAACCTTAATTATTATATTATAGGCCTTTTATATTCAAATAAACTTTAAATATAACAAAAGGACTTTAATTTATTAAACAATACTAATTAAATAAAAGAAAAATGCTAATTTTTTACTAAAATAAATAATATAGTGAATACTTTGTTTAGTTTTTGAAATTATATTATTTTAATATTTTAGTTTAGTTTTAGAGTTTGATAATATAAAAAAAATTAATTAATTGGAAATTATTAACAAAAAAGAAGAATATTAATTAAAATTTGCAATAAAAATTTAATACTAAATAATTAAAAGAAAACAAAAAAAAACATTAAACAAATTTACAATTATTTAATATGGAAAGTATTCTAATAATATAAAATTTCGATTTCTAATGAATATATACAATAGCCTAAGGTAAATATAAGATATAATATGCAATTATTTTCTCAATATATGTAAGTTATTATTATCCCAAGTAATAAATAATTCTATTAAACTTATGCAATTTCTAATAATTAGAAAAATATTAACAACTCTTATATAAATTTATTTAATAAAAATAATAATATATATTGTTTGTTCATACTAATTTATAAAATATTAAATATAAAGATATATATAATTATAGACTAGTTGAGATTTAGGTTAAAAAATATTCTAAAATAATTATAATGAAAATCAATTATTATAATAATAATAATACTTTAGACATAAAAATATTAACCTATATAATAAATATATATATAATAATTTTTAACTATATAAAAAAAAAATAATGTCATATGTATTTTTTAAAATATAAAATTAAAAATTTATTTTTATTTTGAAAAAAATCTATATTCGTTTAAATTATTTTATTTATTAATACTAAATTAATATATTTAAGTAATATATATATATATATATATATACATACAAAACGTAGTTTTTCTTAAATTAATTATACCTTATTTAAATATATATTTTTTTGTTATTATTATATATATAATATACATAAATATATAAATTTAAATTTGTTTTAATAACATATATATATTAGTTTTTATTATTTATACAATTATTTAAATTAAGTATTTCAATAAATTGAAATTTTTCTTCTTTTTTAAGTAAAAGCATTTAGTTTAATATCTTTATATACATTATTTAATTCAAATATAAGATTAAGAAATTTTCTTTATTTAGATTTACTTATAGGTTTTTTAAATATATATTATTATATATTCTAGTCTTATTAATCAATATCTTTCTTTATATTTTTATTTATAGAATCTTCAGAAATCAGACATTCTTATTATAAATCATTAATATTAGTTTATTCTAAATTATTCATTTTTTTATTATTATTATTTATGATTTATAAAATTAATAATACTGTAATTAAAGCGTATTATTTTATATTTATATATATCAAAAGGAATAAATAAAAAATTTTATGGCAAAATTATTATTTTATAATAATAAAAATATAAAAGCACTTAATTTTTTGTTTTAATTATAGTGAAGATATGTGCGTTTATAATAAAATTTTGAAATTAATATAAAAAAAAAAATTATAGTTTTATTATTTTTATAAATATAATATAAAAATTTTATTATATTAAAAATATTAATAAGACTTTTTCTTATTTTTTTTTTTTTTGTTAAATAATAAAAAAAAAAGTAAAAAGAAAAAAAAAAAAAAAAGAAAAAGTATTAAATTTTTTTTTTTTTTTATTTTTTATTTCAAAATAATATTGTTATTCCATCCATTTCTTTTACTGTTAAAAGTTGACAACTTAATCTATGCCTTGATTAAAATAATAAATTATTTATAAAAAATAAATATTAACACTTTTAAGTCTTCCCTTCACTTTTAAGAGTTATTTCTTCTTCATGTTCCTTTGGTTAATTTTATGATATTAATTTATTTTATTATTCAGAATCAAATTATATTGCACATGTTGAACATTCGCAATTAAAACCGCATTTAAATTCCAAAGGAATTTTATTTTTTCGTAAAACTTAAGCTAAATTATTATCAACTTCTGTTTAAATTGTCATTTTTAATAAACTATCTTTTGAAGAACATACTTAAAATTAAATAGATTCTCTTTAAGGTCTATTTAACGAAAATAAATAAAAAATATAATCATAAAAATACCAAAAATAACCTTTAAATTTTTCGTGTTTAAATTTATTTAATCAACTTTAATTATAATCTAAAAATCGAATTCATTATAAAAGGTTTTGTTTTGTTTTATTTAACAAAAAATATATATAATTAAAATTTTAAATTATAAAATAAACATAATAAATTAAAACAAGTATTTATAATATATAAACATTTGTATATATATATATATATATAAATATTAAGAAAAAATGGATAATAATTCGGCAACAAACAATAAAAAATCAAATTCCATAGACTAAGAAAAAACATGGCTTGAACGTTTAGAAAATGAGATTAAATAAATTACATTTCGAGTATTATTTTAACTTTTAAAAGACGTCGAACCATCAATATGGATAGCCAGATTATTAGTTTTAATATAATTTTTATAAGTATTATATTTTTACTTTCATCCTGATTTAAAACATATATGGCATAACGATAAAATAACAGAAATAATAACTACTATATTAGGCTATTTTTAAATAGTTTCATATTTAAAAGATTAAACATGGACTGTATATTTAATAATAATGTATATAACTAAATTTATAATAATAATTGTCATCTTAGTAATTTTCTATGTCTCATATTCCGTTGCCAAAAAAAATTAGGCTTTTTCCTGGCCTATTTATTTCCTCAGAACAATGCTTTAATTAATGATAAGTATCCTCTATATGCCTCTTTTAGATTTATATTTTAGTATAATGTACTGTGATATGGACTAAAACACTCACAGGTATTTCGACACAGTTGAATGTTGGTAAAGTATGCATATATTACACTCTGCAGTGGCCATATTTGTAAGTATTATTTTTATTTTACTTAATTTAGTCGTCACTAGTATATATTTCGAATGCTTCTAGAATTCAAACGACTCTTAAGCACGTGTGAGTGGCCGTGCGAATTTCTTCTTTCTAATTTTTGAGTGTGTTCTGATAATTTTCTACACTTTCGCGAACAATTCATCCTACGATTACCTAAAAATTTTTGCTTTAATCTTTGGTTCATTCTTCGTTTTTTAGTAATTTTACCCAAACCCCCCTTTCTACAGTGAGGAATTCTAAAAAATATGGAAATTTATAAGTGCGACTCTACTCTGGTCATCCCTACTGCTAACAACTGCGAAAATACTAGAAGGAAAATTACTGTAGGGGACGTTAATTTCTTATTTATTGGGTTTAATAGTATTATTATTAATAATAATCAGCGAAAGAAAATAAAATATAGACCTATTACTTATAAACAGTAACAAATATGAGAGTGGGGAATAAATAATAAGCTAAATTAGGTATTTATTGTAGCTTGTAAGATGGTCAAAAAACTCTAAAACTGCTATAATTTTATTAGACGGCTTTTTGGAGGTGCATAAGTAAATTTGCAACAAGGAAGATTGCGTGACTAAGATGAGGAAATAAAATAATACTCGAATTGCCAAAAATTTAACTGTTTAGTAGAATTTCGAGGATAATTAAGTTGATAGGGATAGAATTTATACTATTTATTAGCTTATTTATTAAACATATTTTTATGGAGTTAAGAAATTCCCCAATTGTACTAGTTTAAGGCTTTCTTTTGCCTTTTTTTACTCGAAAATTCCAAATATAAACAGTAAGCTTTGCAAGAATTAAATAACGCTGAAATGAGTAAACCGCCTTTTGATCTTGATTTTATTATTTATAGGTATAAAAAGCTTATTGAAGATGATATTGCAGAATCTTAATAGGATGATAATACTGATATAGTCTCCGAAATGGCTTTTTAGAATAATCTCAGGCTTTTGTAAAATGGAATAGAGCGTTGTGCTTTATAATTGATGGATTTTTGGTCATAATTAGGTGAAGATAGCCCTGATTTGGGAAAAATGAACGAAATAGGGTTCAAAATAAGCGCTTCTATATAATAAGTGGAAGAATAATGGAATAAAATGAAAAAAATAACAAACGGAATACCCAAAGCAATGCGTCTTTACGGCAAATACATGATTGAGATTTTAAACGACAAAGAACAAGGTGAGGAACTACTGTAAAAGGCAAGAGTAGTGCATAATTCGAATAACAATAATCGAAAAGTGTAAATATATACATCTAATGAGGAAATATAAAACGAGTCATATCCAACAATAATACTAACTACTGAATAAGACAAATTTGGGCAAGTTTTAAATATAAACCTGGCAGCCACTAATCTATTCGGGTATTAAAAAAGCGAAATTATAAACCGAAAAGTAAACCTTTTAATGCCTGCCATGCATTCTAAATTTCATGATTAAATACTTGAAAATTATATAAATTCCTCCGAAGCAAAATTCATGAATAAGGAAAGAGCAGTTTTTGGCAAAAACAAGTCCAATTATATATTTCCGTGTTATATTTCAATTAGAACACTAGCTGCAGTGGCTTAAGGTTTGCAGTTTGTGGGATCTTTTAGAGTAGAAAAGGCACATAGGAAAGTTAGTTACATATACACGGATCCTTCAGGACATGTAGAACATGTTTCGGCTTCGGCTATTAATTTTCTTAATATTGATAATAAATTTATTACCTAAAAAGATGTCGATATAGATGAAATTTTACCAGGGGCTTTTTGTATTTAATATATATATATGTATTTTTTTTATTTATTTATTTTTTTTTTAGCTTAAAAAGATAAATATATGACTAAGTCTGGAGAAAATGTTATGTATTGTCCTCCTAAAAAAGAAAATTAAATTTAAAAAACTCCAATTGAAATGAATTTAATGATATAAGAAATAGTATTTAGTATAAATCCTTTAGCCGGCTATATATTTAAACTAGAAATAAGTTAACCAAATAATAATAATAGTAATATATCATATAACAATGCATAACCTTAAAAAAAGACTAATAATAATAATGCAATAGTTATTAATAATCCCTAATTATTCCAAGTTTCTTTCATTCCTAATAAATTTATATTTTACGGTTAATTTTTCACTTCTACGCCTGAAAAAAAAGTAGACGTAAGTTTTTTAATGCAAGACGAAAACTAAACATACGAAATATAAGTCCAAAACGAAATCTAAATAATAACTGAAAAAATCGACAACTAATAAATCGAAAAACAGTCTTCTAAAAAAAACTACGCAATAGGAATTAAAAAAATGCGTCTATATTATGATCATATAGCCGAAGTGGACCTAGAAGAGGAAAAATCAGATTCTGAAGAGGAAGAAGGTGACATCAAGAAGAGTATTTTCCAAAACTAAAACGATGAAGATGGCGATGATGTCAATATAAACGAATTTAATTCCTCTTTTAAAAGCCGAAGAGCCTTAAAATCTGTCGTAAATGACGAAAGTGAACCTTCTTCGGTGATTAATTTAAAAAGGGTGGTCAATGTATTGATATTGGTCCTTGTTTTAATCGCTTTTCTAGACTTTTTTCTTTCAAATAATGAATTTAATAATATATAAGCAAATATAGACTTAGTAATTTCTTCTAATAAAATATTAAATGAACTATAATCCCTATTAAGTTATATAAGAGACCTAAAATTCATAAAAATGGGCATTTTAGAGTAAAAAGAGGACTGGAAGAGTATTATGGAATAATAAATATCTTCAATATAGAATTTAAAAAAGAGCATAACCTTCAGTAATTTAGGTCTATCGAATACACACTCAGATTTGCTATATAATGTAAAAATTAACCTGAAATCAAATGCTGGGGAAGATACTGAATAAAGTCTTTTAGATGCAATTGGGGTTATGGCTGCTTATGCTTAAAAAATTATAGAACCTAAAGATTTTAAATATGAGGAGTTTTATTTTTTCGAGTACAATATGTTTTCTGTGTTTTATGAAAAATTAATTGAAAATTCGAATTTATTTATTTTTTCTTTATATAATAGAACAGACTTAAATAATTCCATTTTTATTATTTGGATGATTATTTCAGGGATAAGTCTTTTTTTGGCTACTTTAATTTTGATTCCTTTAAGTATTATAGTAAACCAAAGTAAATAAGAGATCCTTTAGTTATTCTTAGACATAAAGGAAAAAAAAGTAAAAACACTATATTAGAAATGTGAAAGTTTTGTAGCCAATCTATAATTAGGTGAAGAAGATGATGTTGAATCTTCAAATGATTTAGACAGATAAGTAAATATATTACTTTTATATATTACTTTTTACTTCTGTATAATTTATTTAAAAAAAACCACATTAATAAAAAAAAATAAAGATATTTAATAAATTAGTAGTATATACTATTTTCTTAAGTATTCATATTAAAATAAAAAAATAATAAGACTATTATAATAAGATATATTTATTAATATTATAATTAAATTATTATTTAATTAATTACATATAATATATATATATATATATATATATATATATATATATATATATATATATTTATATCTATTTATATTTATTTAGATTGATGATGATTCTGAATCTAAAAATAAAAGACGGAAACGTAGATTTAAGAATTCTTCAATGAATTTTAAGAAAATGTTTTTCCTTTTATTAATATCAATAATTATCATTGAATCTTTTTTTTTTTAATTTCTTTATTTCTTCTTCTTTGTTAAAAAATACTCAAAATATAATTGTTGAATTAAATTCTACAATTTTTGCTGAGTCTTTCTATAGTTTTACTGATAATTCTTTAAGACAGCTTTTCTATAATTAACAGGCTAAGCTTTTTGGAAGAGATCCTTATATACATGTAAATGAAACAATAAATTTTTTATATACTCTAGATAGTTAAATACATCAATAACATGCCTATTATACTTCGATTCATAATTCAGTATATAACGATGCTTTTAATTAAATAAACATGTTAGATCCTTGCGAAATTATATTCGAATAAAAAGGTGCTAATGTATAATAATGTTAATAATTTGCTGAAAAATCAGTATAAAAAAACATATATAAATAATATATATATATATATATATTTATATATATATTTATTTATTTATTTATTTATATATATAAAGGTTTTTTAAGGCATGTCAATAGCTATTACACGTTATTTTGAAAATACAAGGTATAATAATTATATGCATATAAATTCATATATATATATATATATAATTTTAGGTATTTTTTAATATATTTGATTAACTTTCTCAAAAGAAAAATACTTTTGAGAATTTAACGCCTTTAAATACGAAATTATTAAAAGAATCGGATATAAAAACTAAAAAATAAAAGATTAATTAACTTTATAATTACTTTCTTTATTAAGACTTCCCCTAGCTTAAGAAATAAGGGATATGTAAAATATCTATATTAAGATTTCTTATAGATATTTGACTTAAAAATTTAAAGAAAGTCTTGATTTAAACTATATGGCTTCCAATACTTAAAGATTAGCATTATTTATTGTTTTTAATATACTTATTTTTGTCGCTTTTTTTATGTTTTGGCTGCCTTTAGTATCTAAAATTACTAGAAGTATATGGAGAACTAGGGGAATGCTAATAATGATACCATTTGAAGTTATTAAAAGTACTAAAAGTATTTAAAAGTTTATTAGAAGATATTTAAACAAATATTCAGTATCTAATTATTGAAAAAAAAAAAAATCTAAAAAATAAATATTATGTAAAATATTATATTTGTATTTTTTTTGACAAAAATATATATATATATATATTATAAATAAATATATATTTATATATATTTATATAAATTTCAATATAATAATTTTATAATTCAATTTAATGCTTAATTTAAAGCATCTGCTAATTCTTATTTAGTTTTTAAAGAGACATTTCTAACTCATATTCTCTATTTTGATATTTTTGACATTTTTCTTCGGTTTATATTGATGTATTTTATAATTAAATGTACCGTAATTATTACTATTTTTTTATAATAAAAATATTACATATTTTTATTTTATTTTATTTTTTTAAAAATAATTTATTATATATCATAATTTTTTTTTTTTTTTTAAATAAAATATTATATATTTTTACTTGCAGTTTTTCTATATTAAATTATTATTGTTAAATTATTAGTTTATAATTAGTGCATTATTAACAATTTATAACCGATCTATCTATATTTCGGCTTTAATTCATTTCGTCTAGTATATTTTAAGTTAATTGACTTTTCTAACTTGGACATTTTTCTAATTATTGGGTTAAATCGTTTTAAATAGCTTTTAATTTCTCTATTTTTTACTCGAATTTTGCTTTCTAATTTACCAATTATTATTAAATTTAAAGAATAGTATTCATATGTATTTAATTATTAGCATCTAGATCCATTTTTTCTTATAAGAATGATTTATTTTATAAAGTTAATTATTTTATTTATATATATAAATCATTTATTAATTCTTTATTTTCATTTTGGACATAATTTTAATGTAGTTTTATTATAATTCAATAATAGTTTATTTTTATTTTATATTTTCTTATTATAAGAAATAATTTTAATTTTCGAGCTTTTTTTTTTCTTCAAAAATAAATGAATTTTCTTAATAAATTGTTTTTTGGGATTAAATTAAGGTTTTTCTTTATAAATCTTCAGTTTCATCATTTTTATTTAATTAATTTTCACTTTTTTAATATATATTTAATATATTTTCACCTTTATTTAAATAATTTAATAATCTTTCATCTTTTTATAATGAATTACTATCTTTTTTTAATTAATTTTCATTCTTTTTTAATGAATTATTATATGAACTTTCACTTTTTTAATAATAACTGTATGAATTATCTTCTTTTTTTAAATAATTTTCATCTTTTTTTAATAAATGTTCATTTTTCTTTGAAAAATTAATTAAATTATTATTTTTTTTTATTGAATTTTCGTTTTTTTTTGAAAAATTATTTAAATTTTCATATTTTTTATAAATTAATTTTTTTTAATTATTTTTTAATAAAAAATCATTCTCTTTTTTTTTCAATAAATCTTCACTTTTTTCCCTTCTTTATTAAAAATATCCTCCTGTTTTCTATTAAATATTGCTTTTTTATTCCAAAGAAGAATATTTAATTTACTAATTTTAAATACTTTATCTTTATTAATTAAAAAACTAATTCTTTACTTATTATTATTATTATATATTGGGTTTTACTAAATAATTATTTAATGTTTTTTATATTTTCAGTTCTATTTTTTATTTATTATTTTTTCCTAATGTTATTATTGATACTTTTTTTAATGTTTATTATGATGTTTTTAAACTTTCTTATTATTATGTTAAATTTTCACTATATGTATTAACTGAATTCATATTTTATGAACAATTCTCTTTTATTTAAGAACAAGTTTTTTTAGAATTGCGAAAATTACCGTATTTAGTAGGAGAAACATCTATTTAAATTATTTAAATATATATATTTAAATTATTTAAATATATATTTATATATTTACCATATTAAAATTAATCTTTATAATTCATATTAATCTATAAATTTATTTATTTATTTTTTTAAAAAAAATTAATTATAAATATTTATTTATTTATATAAAAACACACAAAAAAAAAATTATAAATAAAAGATTTTTTATATATAAAAAAAAAAACATATGAATAATATTTATCCTAAAATATAACTTTTAATGATATACTTAAAGCATTTAAATTTACAACAATGTAACCAAGCATAACTATTAAACGAAGAAGATTGTATATAATGTGACTATAATTTTGACGAAACTACCGAATAATGTATTCCAACATGTCCAGAATACTATTATTTTAATCAATTGACAAAAACATGTCTTTAATGCCCATAAAACTGCATAAAATGTATATCAATAGAATAATGTGAATAATGTATAGGATCGTTAAAATTTATAGAAAATAAATGTCTGTGTACAATAAAAAATTGTCAAAAATGTGATTTTTTAGGAAATTTTTGTCAAGTGTGTTTTTTTGGGTTTTAATTGGAAAATTTTTAAGAATGTAAAAAAAAAGAAATCGAAGTTAGTTTTTTTCCAAAATAAGGCTTAGTTTTGTAAACTGAATTCGAATTCAAAATCTTAAATTTTCAATAATAAGATATTTAATAATGTTAAATTTTTGGTTTTTTTAATAATTAGAAATTTCTGATTTAAAACTTTTGTGAATTTAAGGCTTTTTTAAATTCTTTTTAATATCTTTAATATGAAATTTAAGTTAGAAATAGTTCGAAAATTATAAGAAAAATAGAAAATTAATAACTTTTATCAAACTTTTTGTCATTAAAAGAACTTTTTATGTATTTTTTAGAAAATAAATTAAATGATAAAAAATTGCTTTTTTAAGAATATTATATTATGTAGAAAAATATATGTTTTTTATGTGAAAAAAAAGGACTTTCATGTTATTAAAATCAAAATATTTAGTTTTGTTTATGTAAAGAAGGTAGCTATATGGACGATTGTTCATTTTTTTATGAAGAAAATTTATCTTTTATATAATATTTAAACGAATATTTAAAAGAATGTAATATATAGTAAAAAAATTGTCCTTTTTAAAGTATTTTTTAGAAGGAATAATATATTCTAAATAATATTTCTTATGTATAATTTATATTGAAAGAGTTTTTAAAAGGAAAATTGAATTCCTTTTAAGTCCTTTAAGAACTTCAAAAAACACTTATAGGTAATTCTAATGATAAGAAATTTATAAAAGAAGAATTAAAAAATGAAATTATTTCATTTTTAATTTCACAAAATGAGGTTTTTACATATTTAAATAGCTAAAAAAATAACCTATTTTACATAGGAAACTTCATTTAAAATAAAATAAACTTTAAAAATTTAACAAAAGGAATATATTTTGACCTTTTCACAAACATAGATAATATAAAACCAAATATTTAATTAGCTTTCTTACAAAGAGAAAAAATTATTTATAAAGACAATAAAGAAATTTATTTAGAAAACATTCTTATTTTTGAATAAGAAATAAAAATATAATTTTTATACGAGATTTCGGATGAAGAAAATTATTATAATAAAAATATAATATGCATTCAAAATAAGAAATAACTATATTAATATTAAGTTTGTAATTAATTTTTATTCGAAAAAAATATATTATCTTGTACTTGTTAAGGAACTTAATTTACTTTTTTTAACGACTTTGAGTATTTTTTTATTTAAAATAGAAATATATCATCGTAAAAAGATATTGATAATAATATTTAATAAGAATATATAAATTAAAAAAGCATTTTTTTTAATTTAGATACTAATATTATAATTGCAATAATACTTTCTTTTCTTTTTTTAATTTTTCTAATTTTTATATGTCTTTTTCTTTGTAAAAAATATAGAAATAGAAATAAAGTTATGAATTTATAAAGAAATCGAAATATAGATAGATAAAAAACAACTGATTAAATTACTAAAAAAAATAATACAATTAAATTAATAAATAACTTAACTATTTTACAATAAAATGATGAAGAAGTAGAGGATATAAAAATAGATTAAATTTGTAAAAATTCTGATAATTTTATCAAGCAATTATAAAAATAAAACTAACATATTTGAATCTTTAAATAACATAAAAATATTTTTAAAATATATAAATAAATTAAAATTTATATATTAAATTGTTTTATTTAAACAATATATATATATATAACATATTTATTTTATAAAAAAAAAATTATAATATAAATCTTTTTATAAAATTTGATTAAAATAATAATTCTTTTATAAAAAAAAAATAGATAAATTATATAATTTATTTAATTGTAATTTTATATTTAAAAAAAAAATAATATAAAAAAATAAAAATAAATAAGTACAATTATATAAATATTTATATTAATTTATCTATTCTAATATACTAGAGCAATACATTTAATTTGCAAATATATTATGTCTAAAATTTATAGAATGAACATATACTTAATCAAAAATATTTTTATAACAAAAATAAAAAAATTTGTGGTAATAGTCTAAATGATTAAGCCAAAAATATTAATTAAATATTTAAATATAAAACAAAAAAAATAATATAAATAAAATATTTAGTTTTTAAATTTAATATATAAGAATTTATTTTTATTAAGCAAAAATAGATACGTATATTTTTGATAATAATTTAATTATTAAAAAAAATATATATAAAACCGTTTTTAAAAATAATATATATATATATAAAAAAATATATAAAAAATAATGTTAGAAAAACTATATTATAAAACTAAAAAGAAAAGTTTACTAAATAAATATATTAATTTTATTTATAAATTATTTTAATTTTAATTATGATAATTAAAAGATATTTTTGAATAAATTATTATTATATTTTTTAAATAAATGTTATAATATAACAAAATAAAATATAAAGAATGAAAATAGTATTATATAAAATTAAAAAAATGATAATAATAAAATATCAAATATAATATATATTTTTATAATGCTAAATAAAGATATATTAAAATATAAATATTTTAATATTTATATTCTCATAAATATAAATAATTAAATTCGAATAATATATATATAAAATATATATATATAAAATAAATATATATATATATAT